TGTTCCTGGCTATGATTAACCTTGAGAGATTACTTCATTTCTAGGTAGTCTTCTTCTGTTGATTTAAAGCATTAACGTCTTTTCCTCTCTATTAAATTGATAATGTTTTTGCAAATCATATTCCTCCATTAAGTCTATTCTTATTTTTCCACAAAAATTATCAACAGCTCTTCCCCAAAAGGTAAGCCTTTTTGTTCTAAATGCTGGGTAATTTTATCCCTTGATGTAATCTATAGCAACAGCGCCACCAGAAGGCATATTTTATCTCTTTCATCTTTGGAATACACTGTATTTTCTATAAAGTAGTATAGCGTATAGGTATGTTACCTAGTAAACGTATGTAATATTTTACTTGTAACATGTTTTTTGTGACTTTAAATTTTCCATCATTTTGCCTGTTGTAGTCTGATTTTCAGTTTCATTTAAAAGATGCCCATCTATTTTTGGCTTTAATGAGGTTCAAAAAAACCCTTCTGAACTCCAAAGGTATATAGATCATATTGCTAAGTTGCAGTTAAAGCAAATGAACAGATGTTCTTATACAACTATAAAATTGATATACTAAAAACTGAATTTTATGGCTAATAATAGTTTTCCAAGAACTGAAATGTAATATCTATGCTGTCAAAAGAAATTGTTGAAATAGAAGTTGTTTAGCAGCTGTTCTAAACTGTGACAGCTCAAAAGGAATAAAATAGTTTTAGGTACTGTACATTACCCAGCATAGCTGTCAGCTGTAGATATTTTTTAAAACGTTGAATTTTGCCTTGAAGGTGATTGATTCCTAAGGCTTTATAAAATGTGAAAATTAAAAATTGCTTAGATTCCAAATCAGTAATAGAATATTTATGTAGAATTAAAAAATACAAGTATTTTAAAAATGAAAATATTTTACACTGCATCCCGCCTGACCTTTTTCAAAGAGATGAAATACACATACAGGTGTTGCGCAATCCTGTGGAATATTTGCTGCTATACACTTCATCCTCCTATTCCAAAAAGTCAAAATGTCTGTTTCTGGTCTGCCTCCACCCAGAAATAGACCTACCTGGCAGGCCTTGCTGGCCCCATTTCTCAGACAGTTGGTGCCAGTCAGTTTTAGACAGCAGTGCAGCATTCGCTGTCTGGAGATCCTCCACATCCCCTTTGTCATTCTGTCTCCAACCTTGTGAGTTGACGAGTACTCGGCCAGATTGAAGCAGCTTTCTTATCTCCTAGACATAACAGCAGTGAAGCTTGTCTCTCACAACAAACAGTGCTCAGGGCTCTGCTCCATATTCTTCACAGTAACAAAAAGAATCTGGGGAGGGGGTCTTGGCCATCTGATTTCTCAAAAGCCAGAAAAGATTAATGAAGATGAAATTCAGGATGGAGACTGGCTTGCACTATCATATATAAAGAAAAGGAGGCCTTGTGGCACCTTAGAGACTAACCCATTTATTTGAGCATAAGCTTTCGTGAGCTACAGCTCACTTCATCGGAACTGTAGCTCACGAAAGCTTATGCTCAAATAAATGGGTTAGTCTCTAAGGTGCCACAAGTCCTCCTTTTCTTTTTGCGAATACAGACTAACACGGCTGTTACTCTGAAACTATCATATATGTGTCCCCAGCAGATATTGATGTACTTCGCAGAAGCTTATCTGGATGAGAAGTGCTATATTAGAGCTGCTGCTTATCTGTGAATTCAGATCCAACCCAATAATCGTCCATTTTTTGGCTGGCCCATGAAAATTGACACTGTCACTACATAACCATGCATTTGTTCTCCACTCCCGAGCATGTTCACAAAGGTAGTGGTAGTGATGATTGCTATTCTTAAGTGATACACTTACCACAGCACCATCTCCAGGGGCCTCTCAGGGTCTCTAGGCACACAAGTTCACAATAAACTTAAAGCACTGCACCCCCTCTCTAATGCTAGGTTTCTTGTTCTTATCAGTGTCAGGACAGAAACGCACAGTCCTTCCATTCTTAGGGTATGTCTACGCTGCACACTCCTTACGGCAGTGTGTAACGTAACTACACTGCATGCCCCCCCAGCACTGACACAAATAGTAGTGTAGATGGTGAGGCACTGTTTAGGCAAGTACCGTAAAGACACACCTAGACTCTTAAAGCAAAAAGAAAAGGAGTACTTGTGGCACCTTAGAGACTAACCAATTTATTATTCTGGTTTAACTTGGATTTAAACTTGGAGAGTGGTCAGTTTAGATGAGCTATTACCAGCAGGAGAGTGAGTTTGTGTGTGTATGGGGGTGGGGGGGGAAGTGAGAGAACCTGGATCTATGCAGGAAATAGCCCGACTTGATTATGTAAAGAGTTGTCACTTTGGATGGGCTAGCACCAGCAGGAGAGTGAATTTGTGTGGGGGGGTGGAGGGTGAGAAAACCTGGATTTGTGCTGGAAATGGCCCACCTGTTGATCACTTTAGATAAGCTATTACCAGCAGGACAGTGGGGTGGGAGGAGGTATTGTTTCATATTCTCTGTGTGTATATAAAGTCTGCTGCAGTTTCCACGGTACACATCTGATGAAGTGAGCTGTGGCTCACGAAAGCTCATGCTCAAATAAATTGGTTAGTCTCTAAGGTGCCACAAGTACTCCTTTTCTTTTTGCGAATACAGACTAACACGGCTGTTCCTCTGAAACTCTTAAAGCAGTTGTTCTCAACCTGCAGCCTGTGGGCTGCTTGTGGCCCAATCAACACACGGCTGCAGCCCATGTGACATCAGCAGGGCCATAACTATGGCAGGGCGAGGGGCACTTGCCTCATGCACAGAGCCAGCAGGGGGCGCAAAAATGGGGCGATGCAAGTTTGGACCCAGTGTCAGTCAGTCCGTCCCCCCACCCCGATCAGACCTAGCAGCATTAGCAGGAGGCCAGGGTGCTCAGCGCACCCGCAAGGATCCCGGGTTCAGTGACCCTGGCTGGAACAGGCTCCCCAGCACTGAGATCTCAGCAGCAGGCAGGCAGGACAGGCTGCACAACTGAGCTATGCACAGCAGAGGTAGAAGACCGGCAGGTGCGGGGAAGAGAGTGCAGGGGGCTAGGGCCATGGGGAGGGGGATGCCACTGGTACATGGAGGATGGACTCTCGGTGGGGGGGCTGATGGCTGGGGGCAGTCCATGGATCGGGGGCTAGATACTGGGGCACAGTCCCTGAATGGGGAGGGGGTTGAGTGGTGGAAGGGGCAGTCCTTAGGGGACTGGGTGCTGAGGCAGGTGCTGGGGGACAGTCCCTGGGTGGGGGACTGGATGGTGGAGGCAGAAGTCCTTGGGGGCAGCATTCTGCCCGGGACAGGGCACCCTGTCTCTGCAGGGAGATATGTGCCAGCCCGGTGTTGGGGGGGGGGTTCTGGATGCTTGGGGGACAGTCCCAGGAAGGTTGGGTGATTGGGAGCAGACTGGGGAGGGGCTGCGGGCAGTCCCTGAGTGAGGGGATTGGGTGCATGGGGTGCAGTCTCCGGCTGTTGCGGGGTGGGCCGGGGGCCTCCCTACCCTATCTTTGCAGGCAGGCTCTGGAGCCGTGGTCTCTGGGAGCTCAGCCCAGGGCGGAAGTGAAGGTGGCAGTACGCCATGCCACGCCTCCCTTACAGTCAATTAATTCACGTTAACAGTTAATGCTTTGACTGACTTCGCTCATTTAAAATGCTCTTGATAGACATTTGGCAGTCCTGAAATGAAAGGAACGATATCGATTTGAGTCGTATTGCTGTCATAGAACAAACACTAAACCTTTTTTGTTTTTTTGGGGAAATGTACAGGTAGAGTATAGATATACGGTAGAACCTCAGAGTTATGAACACCCGTTACAAACTGACTGGTCAGCTACACACCTCACTTGGCACTGAATGATGGGTTTGGGACTGACAGACAAAGGGACGGGGAAGAGCAAAGATGGAGTTCAGGGAAAGAGGGCCTGGAGAAGCCATGGCTTCCCCAATATACACTCTGTATACACAGTTTGACCAGTGAATGAGTTTTTTTGCTGTGATATGGACATCACTCCCCAGGGACATCTGTTTTATCACATCTGGATAAATTCATGGAGGTTAAGTCCATTAATGGCTATTAGCCAGGATGGGTAAGGAATGGTGTCCCTAGCCTCTGTTTGTCAGAGGGTGGAGATAGATGGCAGGAGAGAGATCACTAGATCATCACCTGTTAGGTTCACTCCCTCTGGAGCACCTGGCATTGGCCACTGTCGGCAGACAGGACACTGGGCTGGATGGACCTTTGATCTGACCCAGTCTGGCCTTTCTTATGTTCTTATCTCTCTCCACTTCCAAAAATCATGTGAACATACTCTTTTTTTAATGTTGGTCCCTGTTTAAGATGCTGTTCCTTTAATAAAGCTGCATGCTTGTTTTTAATATTTCTCATTTCATTGTGTATTGATAATGTTTGTGTATGGTAATGTTTTAATTTGTCTGTGTCATGCCCTGAGTGCTTTGGGTGGAGCTGAGTGCTTTGTAAATGTAATGATTAGTCTTCTGTTACCTTGCACTGAGACAAAAATATATTCCTAAAATTTAGAACTCTTGGATTTTTTTATATCAGTTTGTGAACATTCGTTTTTTATGTCAGATACACTGTTTCTTTTAATTAAAAATATGATCCAAATTATATAACATTAAAACTGAGTAGGACACATCATGGAGATAAACACTGATAAACTAGAGTCAACGACATTTCAGAGGATTTGCATCTACTTTGTGCAAGGTGATCAAATCTCATGTAAATGCTTATACTGTAACTCAGTGTACAACGTATAGGCATATCAACCAAGAAAATCATCAATTTAAAATGTACTTTTACAAAATTGGAACCTGAATACCATTTTTGAAATTCCACCTCAGTGATGAAGACCATAGAATTCTAATATATCAGACTCTACAAATATATCGTTCCAAAAGGATTCTCTCCTATACCTCTAGATATATTGAAAAAATATTTGCACAGTTATCTTCTCACTACTGTTTTTTGTGTTTTCCACAGCCTGTCAATCAAGGTCATCACTATCAGAAAGAAATGAACCCACTTGCTCATTCCAATCCAAGGTAAGATTCTGTTTATGGGTCAGGCAGTGAGAATTCAGTTAGAATATTCTGGCTAGTAAATGTGTCTTTCATTGATTTCATCTTAAATCATTTTTTCAAATGTTACCTCTTCATAGAGTTTTCCCACCGCTCTTTTTCTTCAGAGTTCTATAATATTGCAGTGCGACCACATTATCCCAGAGTGCAGGACAGAACTCTACTATACGTAATAGCCATCTACACATAGCGTCATGCATTCAATGTAACCGATGTAGTCCCTGATCCTGGGAAGTGGTGCATGACACAGTAGGACTTTCTATGCACATCACATTGCAGGACTGGGGCTATAGTCATTTGGGGGTGTGGGTTGGTTTGCGGCGGGAGGGCGGATTGCATTCCTTGTAGTCAAGGAGCCCCATTCTTCACAAATGATACATGATTTTAATGTTATGGAGTTAGACAGGACCTTTAGTTACACAGCACTTTCAAGAGTAGAGTATTATGTAATAGTACTGGGGCATTTGGAGATGTAATCTGTCTGTAATGTATATAAATTATTCAAGTTTGAAGTTGTGCCTCTTCCCATTGTAGTCAGGACCACAACTCCCCTTGGTTTCAGTGAGACCTTTTGAAAGCGAGAGAGAGAGACTTGTCCACCATCAGAAACCTCTTAAACTACTGTATCTGTGAAATCTTACAATCGCTTTGTCACCCCACTGTTGAGCCTCCGTGTTGACCAGTAGTTCAGACAGACAGCTGTGTCTCATTTTTCATCTGACCCCAATGATGCTCTCTTTGCTTTCCCAATGCTTGGCCAAGACTGTTTTCAGATTAAAGCAAGTTGCATGAAGTTTAATCTATCTGAGCAACATGTAGGTCATGCTGGTGGGGCAGGGAAAGGATCTCAGGGGTGTGATATATTCCTCTATTACTAAGGAGGTCTGTTTGCCTTGTTTCAGGATATTAGAAATCTGGGGATGCTTCTGGTGTCCGGTTGTCAGTAGTAAAGCACGTTTTCCATTTCTGTTCAGCTAGGTGTTTGCAACCATTTGTTTCTCAGGCCTGGATTTCAGCACTGTCATCCATGCTTTTGTTACCCTAATGTGATGTGCATGGGACTACTCTTGAAGATCACTTGAAAGCATCGGCTAGTGCACTTGGCAGCTATTTGCATTCTTGGTGGTCTTTGCTTCAGAGAGCGTATTACAGCAGTTATTTGTTAGCAGGCCTGGGTTCCTCTTCTCTTTCATGTGTACATCAGGATGTTGACTTTGGTCTACAAAGACCATAGATAGCTTGGGACCTGCTTACCTATCCCAGCTCCCCAGATATAAATGCCAGGTAGCTTGTATGTGGGCATTCTGGGTGCAGGGCCCTTAATTCTGGGATTGATTTCTCTCTCTGGTCTGACAGTGCTCAAGTCTTCTATCTTTAGGGCATGGCTCATGGTTCACCTCTTTTTGCAGGCTTTTTCCCAAGGGAAGGGTGAGTAGTTCATTTGTAAAAAGTCATTGTTACAGTATATGAAATGTTGTGCATATGCTCAAACACTTTAGTGCCAGATGCATTTTATATACTGAAAAACTTAATAAACTCCTTTATCATAAACATAAGATAAACATTTTTAATGTACCAGGTCAGGTTAATATGTTCAAGAAAGTTAGTTTGTGTTTTAGTTTGTGTGATTCAAAGTCAAATTTTCTGGGCAAAAATTACTACCAGCTTTTGTACTGCTGTTTAATCTATCACACAGTAATCTTTAATTTTTTTACAAAATCATTTTTGACAAATGTGGGCAATCAAAATACCTGTAAAATACCTGACTTGCAACTGCCTCATAAATTCAGTATCCCTTCTGAACTGCCAGAAAGGCATTATTGGGCTGTAAATATAGAAGACAAAATTTTGAGGTCAGCTTGCATCAGGATATAAAAACTGGAGAAGATGTATGTAATGCAGAAGTATTTTATAGCCTGTGACTGAAAAATCATGATTCACATTGTTACATTTTATTTGAAGATGGAAAACTGAGAAATGTTGTTCACCATGGAGGAAAGGGGGACAAGTAAATTAGAAGGGAGATAAAACTGATGGTGATTCTAAAATGAGTGAAATCCTGAACTATTCTTTAAAACCAGTTTTAACAAGCAGTGTAAGGGCTTTGGCTACACTTGCAAGTTAGAGAGCATTAAATCAGCCCCGGGTGCCCTAACTCCTGAGGTGTCCACACTGGCGAGGCACGTAGAACACCTGGACTCTGCAGCTGGAGCGCTCCCAGTAATCCACCTCCACGAGAAGCATAAAGCTTGCTGTGCCCCAGCTGAAACGCCCGGGCATCAGTGTGGACAACGTGTTGCATTACTGCGCTGTGATTGGCCTTCAGAAACATCCCGTAATCAAGTGGCCACTCTTCTCATTGTTTTGAACTTGGCCGCAGGCATGCGGATACCCCCTTTCAAAGTTCCGTTTCTGACAGCTGGCTGCTTATCTGCTCTGAGACAAAGCAAACGGTTACTGTGGAATGCTGCTGCTGCCTAGGGGGGTGTGTGTGTGTGTGTGTGTGTGTGTGTGGTTTCAGAGGGGTAGCTGTGTTAGTCTGTATCAGCGTGTGTGAGAGAGAGAGAGGTGGGGATGAGGGAGCACTTAAGGGCGGCAAAGTCATTGAGGAGAAACTAAATGAATTCTTTGCTTCAGTCTTCATAGCTGAGGATGTTAGGGAGATTCCCAAACCTGAGCTGTCCTTTTGTAGGTGACAAATCTGAGGAATTGTCACAGATTGAAGTGTAATTAGAGGAGGGTTTGGAATTAATTGATAAACTTAACAGTAACAAGTCACCGGGACCAGATGGCATTCACCCAAGAGTTCTGAAAGAACTCAAAGGTGAAATTGCGGAACTATTAACTATGGTTTGTAACCTGTCCTTTAAATCAGCTTCTGTACCCAATGACTGGAAGATAGTGAAAGTAATGCCAATATTTAAGAAGGGCTCTAGAGGTAATCCTGGCAATTACAGACCGGTAAGTCTAACGTCAGTACCGGGCAAATTAGTTGAAACAATAGTAAAGAATAAAATGGTCAGACACATAGAAGAACATAAATTGTTGTGCAAAAGTCAGCATGGTTTCTGTAAAGGGAGATCATGTCTTACTAATCTATTAGAGTTCTTTGAGGGGGTCAACAAACGTGGATAAGGGGGATCCAGTGGACTTGGTGTACTTAGATTTCCAGAAAGCCTTTGACAAGGTCCCTCACCAAAGGCTCTTTTGTAAATTAAGTTGTCATGGGATAAGAGGGAAGATCCTTTCATGGACTGAGAACTGGTTAAAAGACAGGGAACAAAGGGTAGGAATAAATGGTAAATTTTCAGAATGGAGAGGGGTAACTAGTGGTGTTCCCCAAGGGTCAGTCCTAGGACCAGTCCTATTCAACTTATTCATAAATGATCTGGAGAAAGGGGGAAACAGTGAGGTGGCAAAGTTTGCAGATGATACTAAACTTCTCAAGATAGTTAGGACCAAAGCAGACTGTGAAGAACTTCAAAAAGATCTCACAAAACTAAGTGATTGGGCAACAAAATGGCAAATGAAATGTAATGTGGATAAATGTAAAGTAATGCACATTGGAAAAAATAACTCCAACTATACATATAATATGATGGGGGCTAACTTAGCTACAACTAATCAGGAAAGAGATCTTGGAGTCACCGTGGATATTTCTCTGGAGACGTCCACGCAGTGTGCAACGGCAGTCAAAAAAGCAAACAGGATGTTAGGAATCATTAAAAAAGGGATAGAGAATAAGACAGAGAATATCTTATTGCCCTTACATAAATCCATGGCACACCCACATCTTGAATACTGCGTACAGATGTGGTCCCCTCATCTCAGAAAAGATATACTGGCATTAGAAAAGGTTCCGAGAAGGGCAACTAAAATGATTAGGGGTTTGGAACGGGTCCCATATGAGGAGAGATTAAAGAGGCTAGGACTTTTCAGCTTGGAAAAGAGGAGACTAGCGGGGGGTATGATAGAGGTCTGTAAAATCATGAGTGGTGTGGAGAAAGTGAATAAGGAAAAGTTATTTACTTGTTCCCATAATATAAGAACTAGGGGCCTAGAGGTTGTGACGGCTAGGACTATAACAGGGTTTAAAAGAGAACTGGATAAATTTATGGAAGTTACGTCCATTAATGGCTATTAGCCAGGGTGGGTAAGGAATGGTGTCCCTAGCCTCTGTTTGTCAGAGGGTGGAGACGGATGGCAGGAGAGAGATCACTTGATCATTACCTGTTTGGTTCACTCCCTCTGGGGCACCTGGCATTGGCCACTGTCGGCAGACAGGACACTGGGCTGGATGGACCTTTGATCTGACCTAGTATGGCCGTTCTCATGTTCTTATGGGTCTGCTGCTGTCTGAACTTACAAAACAGCATGCTGACACACTCTCTGCCCCTCAAAACATGCTGTCTCTCCCCCCACATACACACAACACACTCCCTGTCACATCCCACCCTCCCCCCCATTTGAAAAGCACACTGCAGCCACTTGCACACTGGGATAGCTACCACAATGCACTGCTCTTTGGGGCATTGCAAGAGTTGCTGATGTGGCCACGCCGGTGCGCTTCCAGCTGAGTGTAAATACCCAGCAGCGTTTTCCCTGCTGTGGTCTCCGAGGGCTGGTTTAACGCCCAGCACTCTACATCTGCAAGTGTAGCCAAGCCCTAAGAAAAAATGTGTATGTGACCTATATAGAGGGGGGAGGTAAGTCAATTTACTTACCAGTCCTCTCTTTGACTTAAACTATTAGCACAGACCATGAATTCCTATCCTTGAAAGAGACTGTAGCTGGATTTTCTATAGGATCCCTCTAAATACTAAAAGTGGAAATAGATTCACTTTCTTTCTCTTCTTGGGAATCCAGTTTTCCTCTTCACCCTAAGACAGTTATGTGCACACACAATTAATAATTTCAAATTCTTTTTTATGACTAACACTCCAATGATAAACTGTTACAGCCCA